TTGCTTCGGTCGAAAAAACGCCATATGTTTGGTCGTTAACATTTGATACCTCAAGTGTATATTCAGTTGGTATTTTTCCTTCTGGTTTCAGTTCTACCACCTCAGGTGGTAGTGACAACTCGAATATTGGTTTTTGTCCATGCGGTTTTGTTACCGTGAGTTTCCCAGCATTTATATCGGATGGCGCAGAATCCCATTTCTGTGCTACATACATTGGAACTTTAACCACCAATACTCTGTTTTGAGCATTCGTGAGATTCATGCGCCCTGCACAAGATTGTTTCAAATTTTCGCCAGTTTTTCCCTTGTCTTTGTTCATATTTATAAACTGAGTCAGATAGTTTTATAATAAGCTTGATAAAATTTCACAATTGACACGTGTATTTTTGCCAGTGTTGTAATACGTGTTTGTTACTCTAATATACGCATGAAACAAAGAATATATTGGAGGGTTAATTAATTTCAAAAGTAAAGTTTTTATAAAACATTTTTTATTTTAAAACCCATACAGAAACACAGAAATATGTCAATAAAATTTGATTGTAGAGTGATAGTAGATATATCAGGTTTATTCTACGAGCTACTTAAAGTAAAAATCAGGTTAAATACAAAAATTGGACTAGTTGTGCCAAAGCAATCACTTGACTTGTTCTATCTTATAGAACTGTTTTAAAGCAAGACAGTTAAAAAACACAAACAATACAAGTTCAATCTGATCACTAAATGCTTCGCACACAAATAAATGCAATGCACTTACTTAATGTTTCAATAGAACCTTACATTTTAGTCCATGAGATAGAATTGGTCAGATTATTTCCTATACCAATTTAGTCCTATATTTATGGAAAATATAACCATGGTGGAAAAACCAAATGGATTGTTCGCATTTATACACAAAGGGAAAGCGGGAAAACGTTTATCCGATGATACATAGAATGTACCATAAAATATAATTATTGATTACTAAAATAGCCAATTACAATCTGTTTTCTTGACGAAGTGAATGTTCGTTGTTAACAATTGTATTGATAGGCACATGCTTTTCTCATTGATGGTTCGCGCTTTTCTCACTGATGATTGGTATATTGATCGCCACATTACTCTCCCACCAGTGGCTGAGCGGAAGCTATGCCACTTTATATGCAATTGATTTTACGTTGTGAATCTGACAGGTAATCGGATGACTCCGATGTTTGCACTGGTTGAGCATCTGAGCTTGATTGAAGTAGTGCAAGTCACGGCCACTGTGTGGTTAGTTCAGTTTCCTCGCTCAAAAAGTAAGCTGCCTTTACCCTGTTGATGCCGACTTGTACAAGTTGTACAGGTCTTTAATAAAATAGTAATAAGCTTTTGATCACGCCATATCATTATTAATGGTCCGTAGTAAGGCGCCTTCAAGGGAATTTGCATGTTATCGTCTCTCAGGAACACACATGTGAACACGTCTGCAGGTCTCATTGAATGAACATTTTTGCTTTGGCATGATTTGAACCTCGAACCGGACCTAATTGATTCATGGTTTCCTTGAGACAGACCTAGATTTAATATCATCAACTTATTTCCGAAAGTTTGTATTGTGGATCCATTTGCTGTAGATTGAAACAGGTAGCACTGGATATTTGACTACCAGGCTTGCTGGACGAGTTTACGAACTCGATCTGCTTTGTGGACGGAATTGCTGTTGAGACACCCCGTTCTCTCCTAGTTGCTTATTTAGCTGTTCTACGGCATTCACTAAAGGCCTGACGTCAAAGGCCGAAAGATCCGTTGCGTTCTTACCTGTATTTCGTGCGCTAGTATGTAATTCGGAAACTGAATCATAATTTCTCATTTCCAAAATCAAGTCGGTTTACTGTGCACATTTATCCAAATCGACGTCTGAAATGGACACGACCGTTCGTACAGCTTCTGGCACAACTGCGTCGCGCCGTCGTTCATGATTGGACAAATTATGCATCGATAGTAGTAAATGGGACGACTTGTTATCACCTAGTTCACGTTCTTGCGTGAGACGCCTTAGTTCACGATTTTCTTAACTCACAAAATCTTGTATCAACGCAGATGATATCTACAATGTTCCTCAACGTGTTGCTATCAAAGCTGCCGACTACGTGGTTATACTTCGTTTGGTCGGCTGTAATACCAGCATTTCTGAACTGCGACTCCATCTCGATAAAATATGAAACCATGCTCTTTTGTTAAATGCTAAATGTATACGTTAAGTCTACAGATGATGCAGCAGATGATGTATGACCACCACAGCAGATAATGTGTGACCACTACAGCAGATAATGTATGACCACCACACCGCGTTTTCTACCTATAGGTCCATTCGTACGACATGACCAAGTCAACGAAGCTGCTGAATTTTTATGTCCTTAACTATATCAATGTCGCGATAAAGTTCATACAGCTCATCGTTCCATGTGATTCGACACTCGACGCTAAAGCGTAAGGGACCATGAATCTTCCAAAGAATTTTTCTCTCGAATAATTCTAATGCCTTCTCATCTCTATTGGTAATTGTCCAAGCTTCTGTACTATACAGCAAGACAGGCAACAGAAGAGATATGTAGAGCATGGTTTTTGTGGAGATTTGTTTGTTGACAGAAAGTACTTTGTTTTGTCCTCATTTACCACAAAACCTATTTGTTTCGTTTGTTTTTTAAGTTGGAAAAGCCGCACTGACGTCGGTGGTGTTCAGGCCAATGATATTAATATCGGCATAGGCAAGTAGCATTACACTTTTGTAGAATATTGTGCCAGCACGGTTTAAATCTGCTGCTCGCATTATCATTTCCAACATTAGGTTAAAGAAGTCATACGACAAGTCACCCCGTCTGAAACCTCGTTTACTATCAACGGCTCGGAGAGGTTCTTACCGATTCTAACGAAGCTGGTAGTGTTGTTCAACGTCATTTTACATAGCCGTATAAGTTTTTGATGGGATACTCAGGCATAGAGAGTGTTTCTAATGGTAGTGTCAAAACCAGGTATGAAATCGACAAATAGGTGGTGTGTGTCGATTTATTTTTTTTGTGGCTTCCCCAGGATTTGACGTACTGTGAACCTCTGATCTAGGGTGGACTTGGCAGGTGTAAAACCCCACTGATGAGGTCCAATCAGTTGGTTGACGATCTTTCACATAGTAGGTGTGACAGAACCTTATAGGGGATATTTAAAAGACTGATCCTGAGATAATTGGTGCAGTTTGCAGGATCAATTTTTTCATGGATTGGGCGATGCACACTAAAATTCCAATCTTTGGGCATACATTAATCCGATCATATGTTACGAATTAGCATTACAGCTGATTTAACTTCATTATGATCGGTTGAGGATACGGTTGGGGTATTTCATAGCCAACGATTGCAAATTCGGAATCATTTTCGCTTTCAGTTACATTACTTCTACCGCCATTTAGTAGGTTTGAGAAGTGATCCCTACAAATACTAAGCATGCTTTGGATATCTATTATCAAATTACCATTTTCATCTTTGCAGGAATTAACTCCGGCTTTATAACCATTTGTCAGACTTTTGATTTTTTGGTAGAATTTTTGAGTCATATTTCTGTCGCCTAGCTTCACAAGCTATTCGTACTCACGTCTTTCTGCCTGAAACGCATGAAAAGATGTTTCTCTTCCCTTTTCTTTTACCGATATCTTGATATGCTGCGTCTTACTCTGCAGTAGCTTCACGACAATCTTGGTTGTAACAGCTGTTTCTTTGTCTATGGAGGGGACATGTTCCATTGTGCGAATATTTTCGTTTCTTTAGATTCCTTTTCCAGATACTGGGAGACTCGAGTAGCGAAGGTATTAACTCCCTGTTATGATTGCGGCTTTTCGACGTCTAGCTTTCGCTATGCTTGTTTATGTACCTTTTTCATCATACATAAATGTGTGCGGAACTTGGCTGCAAGAAGATAATAATTCGAGTCGATATCGGTTCCTCGGATAATACGTACATCCAAGACACGGAAAACATGCCTTTCGTCTGTCATAAAGTAATCAATTTTAGATCGTTTGTTTTGATCAGGTATTTAGATGCTAGAATCTTGTGCTATTGACAACGATGTTTCTAGCGACGGCGAAATCAATCAGCCTTCTTCCATTATCAGAAGTTTTTGTGTGAAGGCTGAACTTTCCGACGGAAGCACCAAAAATACTTTCCCAGCTCTGCGATGAAGTCTTCTACAACCATTTTGAAGTCATGATGGGGACAGTGTTCATATGCTTGTTCAAGTTGTTCCTAGAAAATTTTCTTAGTATCGTCATCTTTATCTCCCGTTGGGGCCTGTGCACAAAATAGAGTAATGTAAAAACATATTATCTTAATTCGGATTTTGACAAGCCTTTCCTTTATTGATGTAAATGTTGAGACTAAATTTCTCAACCTTCGGCTTACTGCAAATTTGACTACGATTTCGTGCTTTGTTGTATGGTAGCTGTAGTAGACATCACAATATTCTCGTTTAGAGTATCCTTGTTCAGTCGATCGCATTTCCCGGAGGGCGGTTATGTCAGACTTATATTGCTTGACAACATTAACCAGTTGTATAGATGCACCTTCTCTGTAAAGAGTTCGAACACTCCAGGGCATATATTTAAATCGTGTAAATGATTTCCTTATCTGAGACTGATTCTTCGTTTTCATTAAAAGGTGTTTTTAAATGGTGGGTTCCAAACCCGACGCATAAGCTCATTTATCCATTAGGAAGATTTCACTGCACTTCACTATGCACGGATGATTGCAACTGGCACTTACCATGTTAAATGCAATCAAACACTTAAGCTTGTAAGTTCACTCCCATAAACCAACCTATAAACTAACATAATATTTTTAAGACATATAAAGCATAGACACAAATATTCTGGTCACCAAACATACTCCATTTTATTATCCATATTATTGTGTCATCTTATGTCTGCTTTTAGTAGATGTATTTTTAACTCTTCACAGCAATTTTAATTATAGCAAATAAGTAAATGTGAAATAAAAGTCGATAGAAGTCAAGACCTCCAATATAATATAGATCAAATCTTTTATTGTAACAATAAGATTTTTAATTTAATTTATAATTTTAATCCGCGAAATATTAAGGTTTAGGAGGCGCAGCTGCAGCGGCTTCGGCACAACCTTCAAGTTCACGTACAGTCGTCAAAAGTTTTTCCAGTTTTTGCGTCTGTAAGTAATGCTGAGTCAAGTACAATTGTTTTTTCGGTGGCTTGACCATTATACGTAGGTTGGGGGAGATTTTCAGTGAAATAATTGTGCCACTAAAAATAGATAAAGTAAATAAGGCTTTAAAAATAATATTGTTTAATATTTTTATTTTTACTTAACATCCCCAACTATTAAAAACGGCAATTTTTCATTGAAGACCAACGTAGTTAACTTATTTTTTCGTTTTGGTACTAAAAGTTGAGAACAAGCTGGTGTGTTTCTGTTGACATTTAAATCGTATACGAAAACTTTTCCCATTGTGGTTACAGCTGCGAACACGGTACTCGAATAAGGTGCCCACTTGACATCACCAACAGATGAGCCTAAATCATATATAAATAGTGGTTCATGTCGCATATCTTCCCAAATTTTGATACGCCAATCAGCGCCACACGATATAAATATTTTGGAATTATAACGATTAAAATCAATTTGATAAACAGCCATATAATGAGCTTTGTAAGTGAATAAATATTTTGAGCTGTTAGAAGTGGAGCATTTGTAAATTAGTCCCTCATCGGTTCCAACCAAAAAAATTTCCGGATTACTTGGATCAAAACGCATACAATGACCAGCGCTCGCTAACTTCATTTCAGTACCGTCAGGTCCAGGAACTGTACCGTTTGCAAAAAACATTCTTATTATATTTGAATTTGTTAGTGTGTTCTGCATTAGAATCCAATTAAATACATGTCCATCGGAGGACACAGTATACAAATTTATTTCACCATCCATCATATCAGGACCCCATCTTAGCTAAAAAAAGTTATATTAATAAACAAATTTGTTAAGAAATTTTTAAATGAGCTAAAGAGACAAAGAAAAACTTGATATGTTTATTAAGTAGCATCACATAAGCTCCACAGTATCCATGATAGCATTACTGTATATCGGAAACATTATTATAAAAGTTTTATCTGCTTCGATGCTTAATATAGTAAGTTTTAGTTAAAGAATTCAAAAATCACACTAGCATTGGACTCCAATAAAATTTCATTATATTTGTTTATCACTTAAAGAAACAGATACAGGTATAATGAATATAATATAATGAATGATTTTTGTGCAGCTTCTCATCCAACTAGTTCAACTCCAAACTTTTAAAGAATTTTGTGACATGTGGTCCGTATTTTAGCTAGGTGTTTAGGGTGCAAAATTCCACTGCCTAGATAGTCAAGTCTGTGTCTTACCAAGGCTGGATAGGTAAGATTACTGTACTAGTGAAATTACGGATTACTTGTTTAAATTGCTAGTGAGATTACGGATTACTTAGACTTGCAACACGAAAGTATAGCATATCAGTATGGCATACATTGCCACAGATAGAATTTAATCATTGCTAGCTACAGGTGGGGTTTATATTAGACGCATATAATTTTTTTTAATCAAAAGAATTTTTTTTATATATTTTATATAAATTTTTTATTAAACAGAATCATATAGCACATGTTTCTTTTAGCACATCTTACATGGGTTATGTTACTTCAAACGTTGTTACAAGATAAATATTGAAATAATCAAATTGAACTCAGTAAGATCGATCTTTATTAAAAATCAAAATAAACTTTGAAGTGCTTTAGAAACGATATTTAGTTGAATTAAATAGAAATCGATAAAAAGCAATAATCGTAATCTTAACAGACAGGAAAGATTAAATTTATCGGGTGAACGCTTCATACCCATTTTGAATATCATAATATATTATGATATAAAAATGATATACGAGTATATTCAATATAATTGTGTGACCCTGTAGTTTAATTCCCTTGCCATTAAAACTCCTTTTCCCTCATTGCATTCATATAACAACGTTGTTATTAATTTTAGTTAGTAAAGTTAAGAAATTCCCAAGCGTGTTTGTGGTTATAATAATGTAAAATAAATATAATAATGTAACATAATTATAATATTAAAATAAGCGAAAATAATTTAAAAGCAGAATTAGTTATTTATGACAATTGTTTTTATATTTATATATACTATAAAATAATATTATTTATAAATTACCTGCCAGATCGTACTAAGATGTTTATTATGTATGCCTTTGGACTCAAATACCGGTTTTGTATAATTAGCGAGTTTTAAATTGAATATTTTTATGTTACCATCATAGAGACCTTAAAATATAAATTTAAAAATGAGTTTTAGCATTTTATTTAAAAATTTTATCTAATTTATCTTTTATTAAACTGGAAAAAAAATTTTAATTAAGCAAAAATTTTTATTAAGAAATTTTATCAGGCTTCTATCTCTTTTTCATAGCAAGGCTACTTTGCTATCAATGTTAAGTTTAATACATTAACAACAAAATTGACCGACTTCAATATGTTAATTATAAATTTCTTTTCGATTACCGAGGACACACATATAGATATACATATATATATAAATATATATATATGTATATATATATACGTACAATTATATATATATATATATAACTAATAGTACCAAATTGTGTATCACCCAAGGAATACTAAAGAAATCTTATATATTGGGTATTGCAACTAAGCAATCATCGGAAGTCCCACCAACTACGAAATTTCTGAACTTAGATTATATGTTGATATGATGAAGTCCCTCCTTTTCCATTCTTCATAATTGCAACCACCTAACATGCTCTAGACTTGATGTGTTTTCTGTTTGTCGGGTTCCTGAAAAATTGACTGGATTTTCCGACAGCTCACATAGTGTATATTTATTATAAAAATGTTTATTACATTCTATTTAAGACTTACCAATTGCTAGCAAGAAAGGATATTTTGCGTGTAGATCACAACACATTACACCGATTTTAGTTTTTACTGAAATGCAACGAACAATTTTTATATAATAACAGATCAATTATGATGTATACTTATTAATTTGATCATTTACTCACTAATGTAATCCGGATAGGAAGGATTTTTAACAGTAAATAAACAAATACCACCATCTTTCACTTGTTTTAAAAATTCAACTATATTTGGGAGCGTATAAATTTAGAATACATAATTAATATATAAACATTTACTCATTTTTTTTTGGAGATTTCTTATGTTTATCATTTTATTAAATATTATATATGACATATGATGCTCAATACTCATGAATACTTACACGTGCCATAACATACGGCAAAGAGATCATAATGTTTTGGACTAAACATAATTTCAGTGACAGTCAATTTTCTGGTTGGATCATATGAGAACGTCCATAAATCTAATAATGTACCCTCTGGACGATATTCATCAGCGGGATCATCATAGAAACGATAATCAATCGCTATATCAAGCGCTGCATTTTGATTAATCATTCTATCGATAACATTCCAACAAAAAAGATATTTTGCCTCAAGTTCCGCGCCTAAATTTACTCTCGCGCCTCTTCCTTTTATTGGTTTATGCTTTTTCTCTTCCTTTTTGTCTTTGTGAAGTGCAAAATCTTTGTTATATGCATCGTATATCCAAGATTGATGCACTGTTGCGCCATAGTCTGTTCTAGGCGGTGGTACAGTTGCTGTGTCGATATTCTATTAATGCAATTGAAAAAAAGGTACTAAAATAATATATGCTTCATACCACATAAATTTAATCTCTTACTCTTCTTGGATAAACATATGTTAACGCGGCTCTTTCACAGAAATTAAACTGGTTTATTAGTTTTCTTTTTTTCGGCTGCGGTATTGATGGCACTGAAAATTAAACATATAATGAATATATGAATAAAATGAATGTATAAAAATTAATAGATAAGTTTTTTAAAAATCATTAAATAACCTACACGCAACATCAGCATCACCACCTTCCTCTTCTTCTTCTTCTTCATTCGCTTCACCTTCATCTTCTTCAACTGGAACTTCGCCAGGTACTTCCATTTCGACTTCTTCAACCGCTTCTTCTTCTTCTTCTTCTTCACCTTCATCAAACTCTTCTTCTCCGCCCTCATCTTCCTGCCATTCTGCCTTTTTCATTTTCTTTTTTCTATCTCGTTTTTCATCTCTTTTGTCCTCATATTCCAATGTGTATTTGGGTGGTGGTAATGGATATCCTTTATTATATTAGAATTTTATTAGTAACATTAACCATAAAATGATCTATACAAATTATTTACCAACATCACCCTCTTCTATTTGTCGACGTCCTTCCTCAGAGTCAATGTTTAAAGCTTTGCCCTCTAAGGACAGTAATTCAATTGTATTACTAGGTAATGGAAGCTAAATTAAAAAATTATAAAGGTTATTTGTTAACAATATTAAAAATTATTATTATTTGTACTAACAAGAGTAAAACCTTTAGCACTGAAGTTGTAGATCACAAGATTATGGAGTACATTTTCATTTGCGGTTGATATCTCTTTCGTTATTTCCTCGGCTAATTCTGCCTCATTCAGTTCCAATTGTTCATCTGGTTTCAGTAATTTTTTTGACTTTAACCAAGCATTGAGATCATCATCAATTTTTTTTCTTGCTGGCTGAGTAAGTCCATCACCATCAGGTCCAGGTCTATATTTTTTATCTGCAAACTGGACAATAGTAAAAATACATATTTTATTGCAAAAAATTGATAAACCGTTTAACGGTTATGATCACGTAATGTGAAATTATTATTGTTTTTACTATGAATTCAAAAATTGAGCGTAAGAAAGAACCTTCGAATTAAGTTTGGTCACAGTGACGGGAGTTTTTGTGCTTCGTAACATTGGTCAAAACCGTGTTGCTCAATAATATATCTTAAAACTTACACCTATTAGGAGTTAATAAGTGTATTTTTGTGTGGATATGTAAGTACATCGAGACAAGAGTAAACAACGTTCCATAATAATAGTAAAAGTAGGAAATTGACAACTGCGATATGACTGTCTGTATAATATGCCATTTGGTCATGACCAAAAATTTCTTAAGAAATTTCTCTTTTATTCGTGATAGATGAATATAAAATATTTTATTAGAAATTTGAATAGTTGAATACATTTTTGGATATATAAACATATTTGGTGATGAATTGCTTATCTCTATTTTACAAGTTTTGTATGATACTAAGTTCGACAATATTTAAAATAAAAGAACTTTCTAATATTTTAAACACTCTAAATTTATAAAGCAACTATATATCAAATGAGGATGGCATTTGAATGAAATCGAAGTTAGTATATTTTTTATATAAATCGTATGTGGCTAGTATTACACTGCATGGCTGTACAATAAGAAAATGGTTCGATTGGAAAAGTGATATATGGTATACAGATCACATTTTCTAACTTCCATGGAATATACAAGAAAAGTTTTCAAATCTTCATTTATTATTTCTTTTAGATATGTTTGATAATGAGAGTAGTTTGCATTAATATTGTCAGATCGTTTAGACTATTTTAGGTAGTAGAAAATATATACTTTAATTTTTTCCTTAAATTTGTATTTATAATAAAAATATATATTGAAAGTACTCAGAATAATTGATTTTTTATTATAGCTTCTTTGTACGTACCCTAACAGTTGGATTTGATTTTTTTCCTTTGTCATTGACATTTGGTTTTTTAAGTCTACTAGGATTCATATTTGCAAAAGATACAACAAAATATATTTGCAATAAAATTTAAAATGATTATAAAGAAAATTTATAAAAATAAATTAAAGAAAAATTTGACAAATAACAAATTATTTATATTTATATAAAATGCTTACTAATTGATATATTAAATGCAATATAATGCATATACTACTTCAATTTAAATATATTAAAAAGTTGACAAAATTATTACATAGTATGAAAAAGCAAATGGCACTAAATGAATGAAGATCACTTTTAATTCAGTCTTAGATACATCATAACGATTGTTACCCACGAGAATCAGTGCTATTACATGGCGATCCCACTACTCGGCTATAAATCACTACGATTACTTGACAGTAAAGCCCTTATATGTGAGGCTATATTGAAACCAGTATAGTTATATGAAATTTTAATATAGAGATTGGGTTCAAAACTCAACATAAAAACTTTGCAGAAGTATTGATTAAAAGAACTCTACGGAGATCGCAACGACTGTGGTCAATCTTTCAACTCATTAAAATTTTAATAAAGCAGTTTTCACAATCAATCTTTATAATATAGGTAGCATTTTAATTACGATATAATCCCTTAATAAATTAAATTTGATAATTCTAGAATAATCTAAAAAGATTGAAAACAAATATTGTAATAAATCGAAAGAAGAATGCAATCAGATATGCAATTTCTTCTCTTGGATATGCAATATCCAGTATTTAGCATCTTTAAAATTTGTGCAGAATTAGGTAAGACTTTTCCAATTCATTTTACACCTAATATAAGCTGTTTTCTATATAGGTTCCTCGAACTTGATTTAAAAACATAAAATTGTTGTCGCATACAACAAATATTCTTTTAGGAGGTGTTGATATGTGATAACACATAATCGTACCAACTTGCGGAGGTGAGGCGGCTTAAAACTGGACAATCTTAGAGCAATAAAGGTGGTATTACAGCTTTTGGTGCGACCATCCTTGTCAGAAAAGTTGTAGCAGAACCATAATGAAAAGCTTGAATCATAATAAGAACTTCTGTTACTGAAGAAAACATTGAATCGGCGAATCAGATCGTGTTGGAAAATCGTTGTGAACCGATTAGAGAGATTGCAGTGTTATTGGGCATCTCATATGGATCAGCCGAACATATTTTAAGTGAAGTTTTGGGTTTGAAACGCGTCGCTTTTGGCTAGTGGCAAATATGCTGAATTTCATTCAAAAAAAAGTTGTTGTGATGTGGCCAAAGAGATGATTTCCAACGCAGATAGTGACCCCACATTCATCGAACGCATCATATCTGGTGCTTCGAAGGTGAGCCGAAACCGAAAAAATAACGCCAAAGTCGGTCCAAAATCAACGTTATGCTGACTGTTTTCTTCGATATTCGTGGTGTAATGCACTATGAACCCCTTCCGGACGGTCAAATGGTCAAACGGTCAATAAGGAGTATTATTTGGCCGTTAAGCGTCATTTGCGTGAGGCCATTCGCAAAAAGAGGTCAGATTTATGGAAGGAAAACTCATGGATTTTACACCACAATAACGCACCGGCTCACACAGCGTTGGTTGTGTCGCAGTTTTTCTCCAAAAACTTCAACAATGTCATCAACCAAGCACCGTACTCCCCAGATATGGCCCCGTGTGGCTTTTTCATCTTCCCCCGACTCAAATTGCCATTGCAAGAAACGCGTTTTGTGACCGTAGAGGCCATAAAAGAGAATTCGCTGCGTGAACAAAAGGCCATAAAACTTGTATGGAAAATTGGATCAAGCGTTGGCATGCATATATTGCCGCAGGAGGCGAGTACTTTGAAGGCCATAATAAAGAAAATGATTAAAAACTAGCGGACCCGACAGACTTAGTTCTGTCAAAAAGATTTTGAATGTGGCAGTTTTTTGTTCCTACATATTTTATAGTCGGGGCAAAAAAATCTCCTGAACAGAACAGTCACCTTGGTATGTGGGGTTCAGTTTGGATGACCAAAGAAATTGGCCACGCTTTTAGGATCCATTAAAAAACCCCGACCAGAATGTTTGCCAGAGGGTTTCAAATTAAGAGGCGAACTTAGGGTTCAAACCTGATTGGAATATAATCTAAAGGGGCAGTGGAAACCTAAAGGTGACAAATATATAAAATGTGGGTGGCTCGCTTAGATAGTTAATATAATGATCTGCAAAGGAAGTCCTGGGGATTTAATAATTATACCTACAATAATCAACAACTTATTCCAACACACAAGCTCATCTATTCCGGTTATGTTATTATCTACTTTTATGTGAAAATGAATCGAAAAATGCTTTGGTAAGCGCATATATACCTATGTAGTATGTAAAGTACCCGATCACACCCCCAAACCTGAGGTAGACTATTACGCCGAAGGTGCTCGACTGGAGGAATTTATCTAGTCGATTAATAATAAACTCAGGATATCGGTGATTGCGATGGCGATGCGTCAAATGTTAATACTCTGAACTACGATTACAGCAACAAAGAGACCAGGAAGATGGCGGAGTACTTAACCGGGGCTCAGAAATGATGTATCAGAAATGATCAAAGATTGTTTGGATTTGGACACTGCGAAGCAAAAAGAAAGGAAGCGATATCCTATCTACAAATTTTCCTTGGCGGCAGAAGTAGAAAATGACAGACCCAGTATCAGCAAAGGTACAAAGGAACTCGATCGAACACCAGACTCCATCTTATAGGGACGTTGCCACTTCCTGCAAAGCGGCTGACCAATTGTGTCCCAAAACTTTAACCATTCCCAGATGCCAGTTTTAAAATATTTCAGGGCGGAGAAATGCCCAAGAAATATGTGTGCATTACCTTTATTCCCCCCCTCCGCTGTGCTGCCACCGAATACTTTGCTGACCCGTTTGGAGAAACAAAATGATGGCAAATGCATATCATCGTGGAGGATTCTCAGTACGGTCTTGGTATTCGAGAAGTTCAAGAATTGGATAGTAGGACTGTAGAGGAACTAGGCAGTAGTACGCAAGGAAACTATACCTGAACTTCATTAAAATTTATGTACGTGTAAATGAAGAGCCCAGTGGACCTCAAGGACTGACGACAAAAAAGCCACTAGCGACAGAGAACCCCAATGAGTTTTAGTCACAGGTGCCGCCATCCAAGAGGCCTCATCTAAATAAAAGACCTAATATCTCAAAAGCACAAGCAGATAGGCTAAGTGACAAAGTACATGTTACACGGGATAGCACAGGATCCAACCCCTCCAAGCAGTATGGTAGTAAACCGATCTCTAAGGCGAAGACCAGCAGCAAGGGTCAATGAAACTAGCTTCCAAATTTCTTCGACAGAAAGCACCCACTCATTGGACAAAATTGCCTAAGTGGATGCAGAACGACAAGGAACGAGAAAAATAAAAATGATGAGGTGCTGTGAAAGCTGCTACGGTAGTTTTGACACAGCACCTCATACCTGAAAAGATTGAATTTGCCTTTATCCAGGAGTCATATGCCAATGAGAATCAGATAACGAGATTGAAAGATAAGTTACTGTGAAATCATGCCATCCATGGTCAACGTCGCGCTTGTATTTTGGTAAGAGTTGGTAAAAAAAACTTTCATTATTCCACAGTATCATGTAGCAGCTATGTTATAACATCTGTGGACACCCCAGAAAGAAAGACAGAGCTTATTGTTTGCTCATCTTACCTACCTGGAGACTTCCAAGACCTGGACTTTTTATCGTTGAAAGGACTAGTGGAGTACAGTGCAAAAACCAAGAAGTAACTTGTCGTTGAAAGTGACGCTTATGCACACCATCCACTTTTTAAACAGAATCAGGGAAAAAGGTATTAGACATCACCGTAGCTACACTACTCATGAAACATCTTATAAAAGTCTGAAATGTTTCAGCAGGATCATCCATGTCTGATCATCGTCAGATAAGATTTGATATTGATCTAAATATGAAAGTAACGGAATCGTATAGGGCCATAGAATGGGATCGATTTACAGACGAACTCTTGGCCAACCTAAGCATTAACAAACATACGATGAGTAACATTCATGACTTACAAATAGCTGCTTTGGGCACATCTATTTTAATTAGCTACCATGAGACCTGTCCGGTAAAAACTAAGACCGATAACAGAAGTGCACCATGGTGGAACAAAAAATTAGCCAAGCTGAGAGTCGAATCCTGGAGACTCTATAACAAGGCTTAAACCAATGCTGACTAGGATACCTTTAAGAATGCCTCCACCGCCAACAATAAAAAGGGGAAAAATCGCGCTAAAATCAACAGAGTTGTATCGAAAAACCACTTTAGCCCCATTGGGCTTCTAAAACGACCAGATGACTTTTACACCAATAACTGCAACGGGTCACTAATACTTCTAACAGAAGCACAGCGATCGTCGCGTTATTATCGTCGAATTCTGCGCACCACCAGTGCGCATTAGAAATGTCTGCTTGAAACGTAGATGGAAACATCGACTGTTCGATGAGGATATCTAAAACTGGTCTGGAACAATAACAATGGCGCAGACGATGACGTCCAAAGTAATTGCAGCATGCGACGCGGAAATGCCCCGTACGTCATGTAGACCAGCTAAAAAACCAGCCAACTGTTGGACTGAAGAGATCACTCGCTTGAGAGGCGACTGCAACAGAGCATGGCGCGTTGCTCAACGAAACCGTAACAGCGAAAATTGGCAACAGTTTCACGACAACTACACAGAATGCCGCAAGGCCTTGAAGAAGAAGATTAAGCAGAGCAAGCGACGTTCTTTCAGGGAATTATGTCAGAGTCTTGAAGCTGACCCCTGGGGGAACGCCTATAAGGTGGTAATGTGCTCGATTCGGGGCAATAGAGCACCTCAACCTATGGATCCGCTGGTAAATGACCGTATAGTTACTACTCTGTTTCCTTCGACAGACGACAGGGTGTTTTTCTTCGATCCCGGACCTCACTTGGTTACAATATCACAGGTCACATTTAATGAGATAAATGCTTCTATGAAGCGTATGGAAAACAACAAGGCTCCTGACCCAGACGGCATTCCTAGTGTTGCTGTAATTGCGGCAATTAATCTAAACGTATTCCCAA